TCCAATCTGATTGGCTTATTGTCTGGTACCATATCTGACAATATTTTGGTGTTCTTTACCATGATTTAATATTCAGTATTCTGGTGGTATTGGACAGTGTTTCACTGCTATTCCTAAGCTTTTCAGTGGCTAAACATTCAGAAGCAGTCTGCCTCTCTTTCTTCCTAGTCTGTCCTTTGCCTATAACTCACTTGAAACCTATTCACCACGGGCGTATCCGGCTGAATTTTAAAACACTGGTGGCATAGTTTACAGCATCACAGCAACATATAATACACACACTATGACAAACTGGCAGATGAATGTCTGACTTGTTATTGTTGTTGTTGTTGTTAAGTGCCATTGAGTCGGTTCCGACCCATAGCGACCCTGTACAGGGTTTCCGAGGGTGTAAATCCTTACGGGAGTAGAAAGCCTCATCTTTCTCCCGCGAAGCGGCTGGTAGTTTCAAACCGCTGACCTTAAGGTTCGCAGCCCGATTCGTAACCACTACGCTGACTAGGGAAGTTAAAAGATTACAATTCAGTCTCAGAAATGCTCAGGTAATAGTTCTTTGGTCAAGACTTTTCAGCCATGCCTGCAGGCACACCTTTCTCTGGGCTCTGGCCTCTCAGCCACATGGTCCCTTGGCCTCTGTCCTGCTCAGACAATGTTACAATTCGTTTAACTCTGTCAGTAAATGGCTAAAAGGCACTCCACTTCACGTAAGCCTCAGCCTGAAGTTGCTCAGCTCTAGCTCCATGGGTTGGTTCCACTATGAAAAGTAGCCTCCTGCCTGAAGGCACTAAGCTTTCTTGATCCACGGGACTTCTTGGGTGTCACAGCTCTCCCTACTTCTTCGATAAGAAGGTTCAATGCAGGGGTGCTGGGGTTCTAAGAACATTATCTACTCCTAGCTCTACTTTTTTTTAACATGGCTCATTTTAAACCTGTTTTCGCTGTTGATTAGTGCCATCGAATCAGTTCTAACTCACAGGAACCCTGTGTGGAGCAGGTTTCCAAGGAGCAGCTGGTGAATTTGAACTGCCAACCTTGCAGTTCAAACAATCCTCATTGAGGTCCAGTGTTTATCTTACTACAGCGCCACACCAGGACTGCAATTTAAACCTAGTGGATGACAAAAGTAACCAATCCACAGGCTAGATTTCCATACACACTATTTGCATAGTACCACTTGCTATGAGCTAGAATCAACTTAATGGCACTTAACAACAACTCCAAAGGTGCCATGTACCTTATTTACATTACTAGCAAGCCATCCAATGCCACTGATTGACCACAAACAGCTCACATTTATTTTCTAGTCCACTGTGGCACTCTAGGATAAGCACTGGACTACTATCCAAAAGGTCAGTGGTGGAAACTCCCCACTCTCTCCTCAGAAACCCTATACAGAGTCGCGATGAGTCCGAATTGACTTGACAAGCTCTCAGTAACAACCCAGCCATGGTCATGATATGGCTAGAAGAGCCATATCAAGTAATTCCCTGTACTGAGGGCACTTGGGAAGTGAGAGAGACAGGTATGACTCCAAATGTTGTTTTAACCACTGTATTATTCTACCCTAGTTAGACATGCGGATTGCCACCATGAACACTAAATATGTGGACAAACACTAGAAGACATTTGACAAATGTGAAAAAATTGCCACACAGGGATAAAATTGGTGGTGGTGGTCGTGGTCGTGTGCCATGGACCCTGTAAAGGATTTCCGAGGGAGCAGAAAGCCTTATCCTTCTCCTGAAGAGTGCTTGGTGGGTGTGAACTGCTGACCTGACAGTAAGCAGCCCACCACGCTACCAGGACTCCTTGGGGATAAGATTAAAGACAAGTTATTCTAAAACTCTTCTTCTGTAATGCCATATCATCTATTCAGTGAAAACAACAAGCAACAGATTCTTGACCTCCAATTGGCCACGAAAAGTTTAATTACATACATCCTTGGAAAGAGACCTGGCATTGTTTCCTGTCCAAAATTACTTCTAACCATTTTATTCTTTTCTGGAAGACCAGAATGGAGGTAGAGAATAGACTGGGATAAAGAATATCAAAATGCATCCATCGAGTAGGGTACACATTATTGTGCAAAGGTAAAGAAGAAAAATCTCAGGGTATAGGAGACAAAGAAGACCCAGAAGGAAATAGGAAAAAGGCAAAGCTGAGTTGGGTAGATACACTCCAGGATCTCTAAGCAGGAAGAAGGCTGGGAAGGATAGGCGTACTGCCAACCAAAGGAGATGACCTATGACCACCTGCCTCTATTCCCTCTTAAGGTATTCTAAGCTCCTCTATGCTCCCAGTGTCTAAGTATAAAAATAGAAATCATAGTTCCTGAAGAAACAGCAATGAGTGACCCAGTCAGTCTTTTTTTTTTTTTTTTTTTTAAATGGGTTCAGCAAACACTATGTGGCAACATAATGCAAGTAGACTCAGACTTATGTGTGCCGACAGTAAATCTATACACTTTCTACTCAGGGCAATGCCAACTTCTTCCACACCAACACCCTGAAGTTGGGTGAGTGTATCTGCACTGTGTGGAAGAGTTCCTGACAGGGAAGCCTCAAGGATAACCTGAATTCCCTTCTTGATCAAATCTTAGATGACTTTTGTCCAATGTCACCTTTCCTAGGGATGGCCAAACTCCGTCTCTCATACTTCGGACATATTGTCAGGAAGGAACAGTCGCTGGAGAAGGATATCATGTTTGGTAAACTGGAGGGTCAGAAAAAAGGAGCAAGACCCCCAATAAGATGGATTGGCTCAAGCGTGGCAACGATAGATTGGCCCATGATTGGGCCGTGTTTCGTTCTACTGTGCATAAGGTCGCTATGAGTCAGTGCTGACTCGATGGCACCTAACAACAACAAATAGAAACAGAAAACAGTGGTTGCTAAGAGAGTTGGATCCAAAAACCTATGTGAAGAAGCATTAACTTTGGAGATGGAGGAGGAAAAGAAGGGAACCCTATTGTATCCCAGATGTTCCGAGCTGTTTTACTGATTGCCACGGTTCATAAAGCAGGCCCCTCGCTGGATGAGAGATGACCGCCTGCTGTATTTACGGTGGACACTGCTTCCCTGAGTATACCATCTACGCAATCTTTTCAGAAGAGTATTTAACAGGAGGTGGGGGCAGAGCTGATATGTCACCAAAGCTTCTGAGAATGGGAAAGTGCAGAGAGCGGCTTCACTTCTGCTGTTTGACACAGTCCCGGCAGAAGGAGAAACATCATGCAATGCTGATGAATCTCAGAAGATGGCCTCTATCTCCTCTCTAGGATAACTCTGAATTCACTTGTAAAAATATGTAATATTGCCATATTCACAGCTTTTGCTATGAGCTCTGCAGACCTTAGGAAAAAAACGGTCTAGAAACACTTGTTTCAGCTTCGATGGGTTGAATTCAAAGGGAATTGTATGAGCCACTCCCATTCACAGAAAACCTAAGTACAAAGTAACTGCATTTATGAGATCACAAAAGCAGATAACATACTAAAGTGAAGCTGACCAACCCCTATAGACCTCGCCACAATCAATTACCAGCCAGAATCCACAAACCCCCACTATTACATACAGGCACCTACGTAAATAGGCAGAGAATAGTGAACATAAGTGAAAAATGGTCTAAACTTAATAACATTCCCTGCAGCAATTAGCCAGGTTGGGCCTTATTATTCACAGCTTCAAAAGAAAGAAACATAGGAACACTGTGGTTAATCAATTTAATGAATACTTTGGAAAAACAAAATAATTAAGTAGATGTTAGTAATACTTTTACTACGAAAATAGTAGTGTAGTATGTAGGATAGAAGACTGATAATCACCTAGTAGAAACAATAAAGTAGTGTAGACATTGATGATTAACAGAAACTTTTATTACTAAGAAGATGTAATCAGGGGTCTGATAAGTGGAAATGATTTGTGTAAGGTTTAACTTGATCTTTTAGTGAGAATAAGAAGAAACAATTTATCACTTACGTAGGAGAGGAGATGATGTCAAAAGGAAAATGTACAATGGTTGAAAAATGAACAGGATATGGAAAGGTCAGTTTGGACATCACAGAAATACTTCTGTTAAGGTTGTCTAATCACAGAGTGAAGGAATGTTATGAGTGAAACTGTGTAATAATTCAAGGGAAAATCAAAGTATCAAATCAGTATGTACTGTGTAATTTTAAGTATAAAAATAAAAGACTTGCTGAGCCAGGGCAGAGAGAAAAAAAGAGAAGAGAAAAAAATAGAGAGAGCGCGCCATCATGCTTTCATTTTCGCCGACTCCGCGTCTCCTCTAGTGTCCTGCGACCCTGCGAGAGCTGGACTCCTGCAGGAAAGCAAAGCTGGATATTTCCACAGATGGCAACACCGTCAAGTGGGCAGAATGACTGTAACCGCAGAAGGAAGGGTGGGAAGCAATGCCCTATGAATCTGAATTCACTGACAACACATCTTAGCCTAGCTAGCAGCAGTTATGTGCAATATGATGAATCACTATCTCCCTAAAATATTCAAGGTCCTACAGCCTATTCTTAGGATGGGAAAAACACAAAAATAAAACTCTAATGCTGAAATACGACTTTCAGATTTCTGTTCATCCTATACCCTTTTAATATAGTAGAGCAACAAAGTTTGCCTTGGGTTAGGCTGCATTATGGGGTGTTATCGCCTATGTGACAGAGCTTCACTCCTCAGTTCCATCAACAAACTGAGCTCAAGGGATGAGAAGCCAGGTAGAGGAGAGATGCTTGTGCCCTACCCTGGCCATCAATTTATCAAGTGTGATAAGTACTCAGAGAGACAGGTTTTCTCTTTGTATGTGTAGAAAAATAGACAATGCACAAATTAATTTAGCTAATGGCAAACACTAATTGTTTTGCATGGCAAAGCAGGAGTTCCTGGTCTTTGACAAAGGTGCCTAGCCTCATCACTGCTAGAGTCTGGGCGAGCGGGGTGTCAGAGAACAAAGCCTTGTAGAGTAAGAGTCCAGCTGGGCCTCGCACATACCTTCTCAGCATACTCAGACACGATCTGCTTGATTTCTGCGGAGCACAGGCCCACGATCTGGCCCACGGAGCTTGCAGTGAGCCGGCTCTGCAATCACAGGAAGACATGTTCTCAGGGTTATGCATTGTCTTTCACAGAGCTGGAAAATCTGAGCACTGAGTATTATTAGAAAGTAGGTAATATTCCAGGGGGAGAATAATTTGGTTGCTGCTCACATATTCATGAAGGAAGAGAAAAAAAGACTGGAACAAACGTTAAGCCAGCTCTCTACCTCCTGACTATGTGAAATATTTTTTCTCAGCCCCTGGGTATCCTGGGAAAATGAATGGGTTTTCACCCTCTCTGCTCTATTCCAAGAGCCACGAAACAGAGGCTGCAAAGGGGAATTGGGGCAGGGGCGGGGTGGAATGGGGGAAGAGAACTACAACTCAGGTAGGAGAGAAGAAAAATAGGGGAGGATGAGAATCTCAGAACTCCTAAGTTTTATTTACTGTCACAGGTCTTTCCCAGTCAAAATAGGAATGATTCTTACTGAGCACATGACTTAAGCCTTCAGCTCTGTGGAGACTAACTATAAACTTGGGTTCTATTTTCCACCCAGATGGTGCTAGAAGGAAACAGAGCACATGGCTCCTTAGTCACAGGTGTGACTTGCAGTATGCTCCAGTATGGCAGTCTCCATCCTGCTCTCACAAGGCTCCCCACCCAGGGGTTCCATGCATAGCAACACTAGACTCAGAAAAGGCTGCTGAAGAGGCGAGGAAATGGGAGACACCTCTGACCTGTCCACCTTACCTCCTCAGTTGCCATGGCAGTCATCTTGGTCATCAGTGACTGAATACGCTGCTGAAAGGGAAAAGGAAAAACAGCAGTAAGGGTCTGCGACCACTGATAAGTTCAGCAGAATGCCTAACTAGGTCTTTGCAGTGAAATCCAAGGGTCGTTTTCCTTAATAAAGTTTTATGGTGAGTCTCATGGCTGGTGGTGTAAGGAGCCTGGAATGGGCATGAAAGGGTAGCTCCCAGGAGCTGTTCATTTGGAAAGCTGGAGGCAAAAGTAAAAGATCTCTCCGAATGATTTAAACAGAACCCTGAGGCCTACTTAGGTCACGCACCTCTTCAGCAGCTCGGAGTTCATCCTCCTCATGGGCTTCAGCTTTTTCCGCTACTGAGAGTCCTGCAGAAAGGGCTGTTTTCTTGTCATCAGCCTGAAAGGGAAAACATGAAAAGGTTGAACACTGGAGCTGGGGACTCTTTCCAGAGAAAGAACAATACTGTGGAGAAGCATGAATCTGTGAAAGAAAACATAAATGTGGATACTCAAAACAGCCTATGAGAGAAAGGAAAATTCCAGAGACCTGAACCTCCATTACAACCACAGACTAAGCAGGTGAATGCTGTCGTCATTTCCCAACTGCCTGATGATTAAATGAGTATCAGGTCATACACGTTACCAGACCTAGCCTTACATTTTGTGCCTTCCTTCTACTTTTAACACTTTCAGTAGTTTTAAAGGAATGTTTTTCAAACAGACGGTTGAGGTTCATTTCAAAACCAACTCACAGAGACTCTGTCAGACAGAGCAGAACGAACCCCCGGGTTGCCAAGATGATAATCTTTGTGGAAACAGACTACCACATCTTTTTCTCTTAAGCAACTGGTGGTTCCAGACCCTGACCTAGTTATTAGCATTTGAGCACTAAAAATTATTCCACAAAAGCTCCTTCTTGAGGCTTATTGTTGTTGTTGTTAAATGCTGTCGAGTCAGTTCCGACCCATACCGGCCCTGTATAGGGATTCCAAGGAGTGACTGGTGAGCCTGAACTGTCAACCTTGCAGTTCAAGGCGACTTTGCAGTCCAGTGCGTTAACCTACAGAGCCACACCAGGACTCCTGAGGCTCACTAATTTCCGTTACTGGAAATTAAATTCAGGAGTTATGACTAGCATCTAAATAAAAATAAGAGACAAAGAGTACTTAGCAGGCAGTAAAGGATAAGTATTGTTTTGTGAAATTTGATTCTGGGGTATGTATGTGTGTACTAATTCATGATGAAAAACAGAATTCTCACCGTTAAGAATAGTAAAAAAGCTTGAAAACCACAAGTCTGAAGGATAAAAATCTAAATGCTTTCACCTGGTGATTAAGCAGCATGCTCTGGATACAGCCTCAGGCTACACCACACTCGAGACAGACTAGATTAACTATTTTCAAAATATAAAAATATGGGCTGCAAGCCTAGCCTTCCTGGTTTCAATTCCACATCGCCATCCAGCAGCTGGATGACCCTAGACTTAACTTCTCTGGATTGCAGTCTTCTAGGGTTGAAAGAGAGGGTTGGAGCTGCTGGACATATCTACAAGGGACAAGAATTCCAAGTCAAATGTCCACTCTGGCATAAGCATGACAAGACATGTTTAATTTGAATACTACTTCATAGGCATCTCATGATTTTTCTAGTCCCAATAAAAACTACCTCAATTCAGAATACAGTCATATGCATTCTTTTCAGAATTTAATGACATATACCAAATTAAATCTACACATTTTAAACCCTTGTCACACACTAGATGCCACATGACACACTTTATATACAGAAAACATCCATCATTCTGCTCCGGAGGAAATGAAGTTTCATAGGGTGAAAACCAAGTATGGAAAAAATAAGTAACAATAAAACAAAACAAAAGATACCTCAATCAATGAATGAATAATTGCCAATAAACTAAAAATAAAAAGTTATAACTTATTGTGGAGCACAGTGGCTCAGTAGGATAAGCACTGGACTGCGAACCACATGATCAGCGGTTTGAGTCCACCAGCTGCTCCATAGGAGAAAGATAAGGCTCTCTGTTCCTGCAAAGGTTTACAGCCTTGGAACCCTATACAGGGTCACTATGAGTTGGAACTGACTTGATGGCACTTAACAACAGCAACGAGAGCTCATTATGTGTTCATGTTGCATCAATAAACATCCTTAACATTTCGAACCTTCACAACAAACTGTGAGACAGGCACAATGATGAAGTACATGGTCTAAAGCCACATATGAGGGCAGAGCTGGGGTTTGAAGCCAGCCAGCCCAGCTCTTGAAGTGTCCATCGCTTCTGTTGCTGCCTCCAGTGACTGATACAGAGTCACCACAGAAAGCAGGCAGCAGCTAATGAGGTCAGGGCAGCCTCCTGGAAGAAGGACAGGAGGTCAGGGCATCCAGGGGAAGTAGAGTCTCCTTCAAGAAAATATGGGGTCAGTGGAGAGTAGCGTAGTGGTTACGAACCATGCTGCTAACCTCAGGGTCAGCAGTTGGAAACTACCAGCTGTTCTGCAGGAAAAAGATGAGGCTTTCTGCTCCTGTAAAGATTTACAGCCTCAGAAACCCTGTACAGGGTCACTATAAGTTATAACCGACTCCACAGCACATAACAACAACAAACAAGCTGTAGGACTTCACTTTTTAAGAGGTCATTTGTTGTTGTTGTTAGGTGCCATCAAGTCAGTTCCGACTCACAGCGACCCTGTAAAGGGTTTTCAGGGAGCAGTTGGAGAATTTGAACTGCCAACCTTGTGGTTCAAACCAACCTTGCAGTCCAGTGCATTAGCCCACAGGGCCATACCAGAACATTTTTATTTGTTTAGAGACAGTACTCAAGAACACAGATTTTGATGTCAGACAGATTCATATTACAGAACTTTAAGAGTTGGGTAATCTTAGACAATCATTTATTTTCAAGAGCCTCAGTCTTCTGATCAGAAAAACAGGAAAAAGTATCTTCTTCATGGAATTGAACTGTTCAAGAGAGTAAGTGAAAAGATACACAAAGCCCTTAATAAAGGGCCTGGAACTCAGTAAGAGTATGCCACGGAAGCGTTTTACCTGCCATGTTGCTGACCATGAAGAACCATTCACAAGGCAGGAAATTCATGAAAATCTTTGGGACTCCTTGGTCAAGGCAGGGACTGTACCCTACGTGACCTGATTTTTTTCCACACTGGGATTATGTCCAGGCACACTTGTATTTTACAGCTCTGTCTAGCTTAGTGCGACGTCTGCTCACTCTCTTATGACAGTGGACTGTCACTGTCAGTCACCCCTCACTTCCAGCTTCCACACTCACTTGTCAGGTTCCTATGGAGCAGGTGAGAAATGGAGGAGGGAAACATGGTGACCAAAGGGTGCTGGTGCATCCTGCTTCCTCACTTGCCCAGGTACTGGCCTGGTGGGCATTATCTCTCTCCCCACCCTCTTGGTCCCCCAAGGAGCAACTGCCCAGCCTGGCAGAGGCAGAGGAGAGGGGAAGGGTATATGTCTTCCATCTCTCAAATACTTTCCCCCATTATCTATGCTTTTCTTACCTTTTCTGTTTTGCTCTGGCGACTAAATCCATATCTCCTGCAGGCCACATTAAAAAAAGGAGAATTCAATTACTATCCAAAATCACAATAAATTCTGTCCAATACATTTTGGTTGGGTTTTTATATGAAAAGCACCAGAGTCAATTCAGGCTACTTGACAACGGGGAAAACGGTTTAAAAGTCTAAACTGCAAACATAGTGTTTTTTTTTTTAATTAAGTGCTAGTCATCCTAGTTACTATATAATGTAAATGAGAATTCCCATATAGTGTAGAGTGCAACATTTTATTTAAGTACAATCATTACTCTCTGAACTGGGAACTGCATTTCAGACCCACAGTCTGAGATAATAAGCCTTACAAATACCTATATAAAAATGTGAAGGTATTTGCTCAAGCAAACATGTTTTCTAGTAGATTTTTTCATATAACTTCAAGTCCTGCACAATTTTTATTCTCAAACATCACCTACGCATGATTGATGCCAATAATGCATGTATTCACGTCATGCAAAAACAATTTGTTCTAATTACTCTAAGCTTAAAAACAACAGAAATCAGCAAATAAAACAATGCAAAACCATTCCACCTTAAAAAAAGCATAATGCAAAGCACCAACCTTACTTACCTTTAGGCAATTAGTCCCTAAGGGATACAGTCAGATGTAAGCATTTAAGGAAAACATATTAAGGACTCTGGTCCGGCCTCACAGAACACCTGGTTACAGGATCAGTGTGCTGGTGCTGTCAGTTCTAGGATGTTTTTCTGCTGTTTCATCACAAGTATATCAAATATTCCCACTCTTTCTCCCCCTTTCTTATCCAACTCCACACTGGGCAGCTCCACAGTCATCAGTGGTGGACCTCTTCCCTCAGGAGACAATGAGACTCCCTAGCACTCTCCCTAAGGCCTACCATCTCTGGCCCTGCCTAACCACAGTTTAGCTTTAAATTCTAAAAGCTTACGTCCATGCTCTCATTCCAGCCACTCCTTAAACAGGCAACTCTGTGCATACTGGGCTGTTTTCATCTCTCTTTTCCCCTACTCTACCTCTCCACAACACACACACACACACAGACACACACACACACACACACTCACTCCCTCACTCACTCAACTCTAAAGCTATCTCTAGTCAGAAACACCCCCTCCCTGAAATTCAGCTCTTTAGCTTGGACGCGTCACCCCCAAACTAAACTCTACAGTCCCGGCCTCTCAGAAGCATCCCCTTCACATGCTTTGCCCTGACCTCTCTACCCCAGCTTTTGGGTATGCTCCCCCAGCTCCCAGGTACCAATCGTGTCAGTATTTTCTCCTTTAAGAATCAGTCTCTGGAGAACGAAATCATGCATGGAAAAATGGAAGGTCAGTGAGAAAAGAGATGGAGAGGAAAGTGGAGAAGGCAAGCACTAAGAGTAAGAAGCATACTCGAGGGCTCAAAACGTTCACGAAAAACGGAATTTTCCCATAAACTTTATAAAGCCCCTTCAAATAAACTAGAAGGCCCAAGACATCAAGAACAGAGAGGGAAGGTTTACAATAGGGTCCTTATTTGAATGTAAAGGTCACATATGGGGACATCTGAGAACAGAAAACTGCTGCTGCTGATGATGATGACTGAGAATACGAGAAACTGATCAGCATTCATTGTCAAAAAGGAACAGATCCAGATCAGTCATAAGGTACAACACTCTCTGTGATAGGATAATATTCATGTGTCTACAAGGAAGCCCCAGTAAATACCACTACTATTCAAATATATGCACCAACCACTAAACCAAGTGAGGATGAAATAGAAGAATTCTACCAGCTTCTTCAATCTGAAATTGATCAAACATGTAATCAAGATGTATTGATCATTACTGGTGATTGGAATGCAAAGGTTGGGAGCAAAGAGGAAGGATCAATAGATGGAAAATATGGCCTTGGTGATAGAAA